AGCTACCAGATCTTCTGATGGCGCCAATCCTCGCCCACACCGCCCTGCAGACGATACCGGTTCTCTTTGGGGCACCACCATCAGATACCACCCGACAGGTTCTTCGTGCCATTGGCTCACAGGAGCGCACGGCTGCTGGCCTGGTGCTCCGTCGTCATTACGCGGAATATCACCGCCGCGTCGTTGCTTACCTGGCACAGCGCAACCTATATAGCTTTCGAGTGGCGACCGACTTCCAAGTGGCGGCGCGACTTGGTATTCAAGTGCGCTCCACCATTGTTCAAGTTGATCTTGAATCTGTGGTGATGCTGGCATCGGTTTCTCGCCCAGCTTATATGTCCGTTACTCGCTTTTTTGCGAGAGCTGAATTCTTTCGCACTGCGACCATCCAGTCTGCCCTCATCGAGCTGCAGCCCTGGGCTTTCGCATGTCTTGAGCTGTGGGGGATGCCATACTTCTCTATGGAGCCGCTGGATGATCTCCCGCTTACGCGTTTGCGGCCACCGCTATCGGTCCTTGACCCACAGGATATGGATGCTCCAAACTCTGCCTAGCCCCAGCCCTTGCGAGACCCACCCAAGTGGGAAGCTGGGCATGATAGTCCCCTCTTTCTTAGGGGATCTGTTCCGGGCTCAGTCCTGCTGCCCCAGCCCTTGCGACACCCACTCCTGGGAAGCTGGGCAACTGCAATTACCATACAAGTGTAGCTGGATGACCGACACGGCCTTACCCTGCAATTTGAGACGCAGACTATGACTAGGCTGCTATCCGGTCCCTGTACAATTGTTTCAGGGTCCGAAATGTCAACAGCCGACGGCTGCCACCATGCCCACTTCTGCACTTGCCCTGCGTCCACCTAAGACGCACGAGATTGCTCGGTGCCACCTTGGGGTACATGGACGTGCCCCGTAACCAAACGAAGTGGTTGCAAAAAGTGCGGTTAGCTGCAGACAGGCGAGTACGTTTACGGATGCACAACGGACCCCCGCTTGCACATTCGGATGTGCTGTGTTCCGCTTGCCAAGGGCTCGCAACATTTCACTTCAAGGAGGATAAGCCGGGTTACGGGCCATGGCCACGCTCCCTGAAGTTCATTTGGAGCAGATGATTCACTACATCTCTGGACGCTCGCTGAGTGTGCTCTTCTGCGCCCCGCCATCCGAGGGCACCCGGCAGCTGCTATCTGCCAACGATCCGCTGGAGAAGCGGGCAGCTGGCCTGGCCCTCCGGCAGCAGTGGGTCGAGTGCCAAGCGCGTGTCTCAGCCTCCTTGGCCCAGCGCGCCTTCCGTTGCGTTTTGGTGGAGCCCTACTTTCAATCGATTGTGCGACTTGGAATTCAGGTACGTGCTACTATCTGGCAAATCGATATTGATGCCTTACTGAAGCTGGCTCCTGTGTCACGGCACGTCTGCAAGACTCTCCTCGGATTGTACGGGGGCACCGACTTCTTCCGTGATGCGGCCATACGGTCGGCTCGGGCAGCCATGCGGCCCCTGGCCAAGGGATGGCCTGGTCTGGCTGAACGACTTTACTTTCCTATGGACATCCTGGGGATGCTCCCCATTACGTGCCTGCGCTCTCCGTTTAGGGCCCTCACTCTCTCGGACCCGGATGCCGCTGGCGCTCATTGATTTCTGCTTTGCCCTTGCGAGGCCCGCACAGTTGGGAAGCTGGGCGGGGATGCTCGTGTGCACGGTTGCTGGCTCACATTGTCCTCTGTAGGAAGCTTCGTGTGCTTGACAGCCAGCATGTTCTGGCACATACTTCTCTCTCCAGAGCCATCGTCTCGCTTTGAGTGGATCCATACGAGTCATTGGACTTGTGCAATGGCGGCCATGGGCGCTATCCTCTGCTTCCACGGATGCTGGACAATTGGTGTGCCATTGCGCGACTCAGCGGGAGTGAGAAGCGGGGCATCTGAGCTGGGAGTAGTTATGGGCCACGCATATCCTGCCGAACGACCACTGCCGGCTAAGTCTGCAAGTCGCGGCCTGTTTCACCTTCAATTTGTAGCTCTCTTTACTTGTACAGTTGTTATTACAATTCTTGTAGTTCTTACTGGGACCGAGTGCAGCAACTGCTGTCTCTGAGGCCCGCCGACGCCAAAAAAACCAGAGAATGACTGAATCGCAAGCACCGGAACCAAAAGACCGGTGACAGAACTCACCCGATCATTCGGGATCTCATGGTTTCTCTTTTTGGGTCCGGTGGCAGCAGTCCGAAAGGACAAACGAGTACTTCCCGAAGGAGTACCAGTCCGAGAGGACCAGCCGCCAAGAGCAAGAGCAGTCCGTCGAGGCCTGTGCCCATGGAGTCCCCAGAGGACTCGCAGACAAGCACTAAGGGCAGCCTGCGAAGGCTTAACACAAAGAGCCCCATAATCTTTGTGGAGCAGGCAGCAGATGCCGTAAATGCCGATGTAGTCAGTGTCTCGAGCACGGCTATCACAGCATCCAGCAAGGTTGTGCTGCCGGTAGCTGTGCTGCTCCACAAGAAGCCAGCGATGGCAAAGAAGGCTGCAAAAGCCAAGCAGCCTGCAAAAGGCAAAGACAAGGTGCTGAAGAAGCCGAGCCTGAAGAAGGCTGTGCCGGCAGATGGCACGAAGAAGGTATGGCACGAGACCGTTTCTCACGGTCTCGTGAAAGTGACTAAAGCCTCGGCCAAGGCTTACATCACGTTCAAAGCCAGCGATGGCAAAGAAAAATCCTTGGTCAACGTGAACCTTGAAAAAGGCGAGAAGCAGTCCAGAGTCATGGACTTGCTGCAGCAGAAGCTCCAGACCGAAGAGATCGACAGAGACTCCTTGCTGAAGTTCAAGGAGGATCTGAGAGGAGAGCCTGCAAAGGCAGAAGCAGCAGAAGGAGAGCCTGCAAAGGCAGAGGCGGCAAAAGAAGAGCCTGCAAAGGCAGAGCGGCAAAAGGAGAGCCTGCAAAGGCAGAGGCGGCAGAAGGAGAACCGGAAGAGGAGAGCCTGCAGAAGGCGAAGGACTGAAGGGAGGTCTGAGAAGCACAGCCTGCAGAAGGCGAAGCTAAGAGCAAAAGGCTTAAGGACTGAAGCTTTTAAAGTGTAAAAGAAACGAGCAAGGCATGAGCGATGTTGAAGTTTTAGCTGAGCCTAGCCTGCAATGGCAAACTGCTTCTGTGCACTCTTAATTTGTGGCTCGAGCATGCAGCAGTAGCCGCAGAAGCAACCTAGCACTGGAGCTAGCTGGCAGACAGCACACACACACACACACACAGCTCGCAGACAGCACTGGTAGAGTACTCTAGGAGCTTGTAGAAAGCAGTAGCCCTGTAGGGTGCCCCGCACTTTAGGAGCTCTAGAGTAGGTAGTTCTGGCCCACACTAGGAGCTTGTAGAAAGCAGTAGCCCTGTAGGGTAGTTCTGCCCCACACTAGGAGCTTGTAGAAAGCAGCTAGTAGCCCTGTCGCCTTCTAGGTACGAGCGGTAAACGCACACGCCGCTCAAGCAATGTGGTTCGAGCAGGCCCTTGGCCTTCTCCAGTTAGGCGTTCAGTCTAACTGGTGGGGTTTGGGTTGCCCTAGCCACTGCCAGGGCTCTCTTCTGGTGGTGGTTCTTTGTCTTGCGGTTGGGGTCCTCTTGGGGGTCGTTTTGACTTTGGGTTTCTTCAGGGAGGCCCTTTTCACTCTTCCCCCTCGGGAGCCACATCCTCCTCCTTCCGCTACCACTTCACCGCCCCCTCGGCCCGCTGATCTGAGACTCAGGGCCTACTTGCATGAGCGACAGCGGCCTGCCTGAGGCCATCAACAACCTTGCTGAGTCGCTCTCGCGGCTCTCCTTGGCCATTCGGCCTGCCTCTGCCTCTAGCCCTAGGGGTTCGGATAGTGGTTGGTTGGTTGTAGACCCCAGCCTCCCTGTTGAGCCAGGTTCCCGTGCGGCTCCAGGGCCCCCTGCTCCTTCCTCACCGGCCGCCCATCATTCCTCTCTTTCTCCTGCTGAGCTTACTGGCCTTTACAACCGCCTTGAGGATTCTATCCCTCCTGTTCCTGCCAGGTGCGTGCACTCCTGTCGGGCCCTCACTGGGTCTGGTTCCTCCCCTGAGGCTCGAGCTTCTCGGGCGTGGATTGCTGGCCACTGGGCCCGGCTTGTCTTGGCCGATCAGGTCCCTACTCCTCGGCCTTCTGCTCGCTTGCCCCCTGCCATTCGGCCGCGCATTTACGTTGTTTTGCGGGCCGCTGCCTTTGAGGGTACTGCCAGGTTCTCCTCTTTCAGAGCCTTTAAGAGCGCAGTTGGTGCTCTTGAGAATTCCTCCACTGTCTGTCACGCCTTTGCCTCCTTGGCTGAGGCTTGCGTCTTCTGCGAAGCTGCCGGCTTCGACTTGCCTGCCGAGCAGTGATGGAACTTTCCTCGGTGGAGACCCTTGCCGATGGTGCCCTGACCTTCCTTGCCCTTTCTTGGCCAGACGAAGGTCGCACCTCTCCCTCCTTGGAGGCCGTTGCGGTCCCGATTTTGAAGAGGCAGGAGGGGCTTATTCTGTGTATCCCGTGCGGCTTCTTGGCTCTGTCGGTCCTGGACGCAGGGGCCGAGGCCGATGCAACAGCGACTGTGGGTCTTTCTCGGCAGGTTCGGGTTCCCTTTGGTGTTGCCGACGAGCAGGGTACCGAGCAGCCCATCGCTGGATGCGGCCGTTCTCCTTGTGGATTTCGGAAGTGGGGTGCTTCCTCAGCTTCGGGAACTGGGGGAAGATTTCGGCCTGGATACAGTGTTCCCTTTCATTCTCCACCAGCCCGAGGCAACTCCCCTCTCGGACGACCTTCTCCAGGTTACTCGCGACTGGCTTTCGGATACTCCTCACGATCGGCTGGCCTTTTACTCGGCTCAGGAGGAGCCTGCAGCCCCACCGGGCAAAGCCAAGGCCAAGAAAGCCCAACCGGCAAAGAAGCGAGTTACAACGGCGGATCTTGCTGCCCAGATGACTCAGCTTACTGCCCTCCTTCCTCAGCTCACCGAGCAGTTGAGTACCATTCGGGATCGGCAGGATGTTCTGGAAAGGCAGGTGCAAGGCAAGCTCCGAAGCTCCCGCACCAGCAGCACTTTGTTCCGCCGAAAGGTCCGGGCCTTCCTTTGGGAAAGCAAGCTTCTCTTTTGGGGCCTCCTCCGCTCGTACCCGGCCTCCGGTGGAGCCCGCTCAGAGCTCTTTGTTGGATGCCGCCGGCGTGGGTCCGATGCCCCTTGCTGCGCCGCCCGCTGCGGACCTTGTTCAGGATTCCTTCCAGACTGCCCTTCTTCAGCAGAGTCAGGCCTTGTCGGCGCTGGTCGGGCATCTCGTTGCCCAGCAAGATGGTGGCCTGGGGGATCTGACAAGCTCAGCCTCCAGCAGCATTGGTGCAAAAGGGGCCGCGAGACGGGAGAAACTGCAAGCTGCTCTGGCGGCCCGCTCCGGGGACTTTTTCCTGTCGGTCTTCCAAAGCGCTGCTCGGCGCCTGCAGCCGTCCCAGTCGAGCCCAGCCTCACTCTCCGAATGCTCCGCTCAGGTGTCGATGTGCCAGTACCTAGAGAGGTTCGGCACTTTTGGGGGCCAGAGAGAAGCCGGCTACACCATGTGGTGTTTGGCTCATGTGATGGACTGCCTTGCTCAGGAGGACGTCGCTGGTGCTCGCGAGTTCCTTGCCTTGACTTTTGTGGCCCTGGATCAGGCCACGATCGACAACGGCCGTTGGGACTTCGCCTGGCTTTTGACTCTTTTGGAGGAGCCGCCAGGTCAGATGTTTCGAGGGCGAGGTCAGGTTGCGAACCCACGAACCCGAGCGTTCTCTCCTCTGTCTCCGGTGGCGTGGACAACTTGTGCACTTCAGTTCCTGAAGGAGGTCGACTTGATATCGACCCGTCGCTTGGAAACCTTGGGGCACCCAAAGGCCTCACCTTCTCCACCCGTCGCGGAAGACGCTCCTGCCGCTCCAAAGCAGCCCCGGCGACCACCAAAGTACCCTCGAAAAGCCAAGGCCGAGACTCCCGCCTGACCTCGTATGGGGCGCGCTCTTTTTCCACGAAAAAAGAACGGCCTTCGTGTTCGCGGCCGCCTCCTGGACTTACCCCTGTTTTGGGTCCCTCCGGCCCTGCCTCTTCCAAGGATGCCGCTTCTCAGGCCTTTGGCTTCAATCTTCGTGTCTCCTTCGCCTCTTGGGTTGGGGGCCTGCTCAGGGCCGTCCTTCGCACAAGGACGGTCTTTTCCTCGTTTCTTTGTTCGACTTTGCATCTGCCCAGGCTTTCTCGGCCTGCACCGCCTTCCGGGACTCTCTTTCCGATCCCTGTGCCCTTTGAAGATGCTTTTAAGCGTTTTCCTTTTGATTGCAGCAGCCGCTTCCGCAGGCGTGCCATGCACCGCCGCCTGCTGCACATAGTTTGCGTGGGGTTGAACTTCCTCTACGCTGGCTGTGTGCCAATCCCCCTTGCTGCTCTCCAACGGCCCGCCAATGCAGCACAGCAACGACTTGTCGCGCATGTGGGTCGGCATTTGAAGGCGTTCGGTGCCTCTGTCAGCGAGTTCGCTTTGCCTGACTCAGGCCGCCGCAATCCCCAATTAGTTGCAAGACTTTCAGAGTTAGTGGCTTTTCTTTCGGCCTCCTCGGCCAACTCGGGAGATGCTTATGCTGATTTGTCAGGCACTGCTATCCCCACGCACAACGATGCCTTCCCTGGCTTGGAGCCCTTTCGCTCCCTGGATGTCTCTCGTTTGAAGCTTTCAGGTAAAGGTCACTGGGACCCCCGGCCCTACTTGACCGATGAGCTCTATATGGCCTTCGCGGAGCCTCGCTCCCTTCTTCACGGTGGACCTCCACCCGATGACTTCGTGCCGGTTTGGACCGGCGAGAGCTACGACGAGACTGCTGCACTCGCATCTCTCTGGGATCGCTTGGGTCTTTTGCATTTGGTGCCTGCGCGGCTTCGTGCTTCGGAGTCCTATCGGCTCGCGAGGGCCTTCAATTGCTACAAGGCCCCTGATAAGGACCGCATGATCATTGATCGCAGGGGCCAGAACTTTGCAGAAGCCAAGCTCAGCGGGCCGAGTCTTTACATACCTGTTGGGCCCATGCTCAATGTCCTCGAGGCTGACCCTCTACATGAGGGTGTGTACTGCGCGGCTACTGACCGCAAAGATTTTTATCATCAGTTTGCTGCAGGCGATGCCAAAGCCTCCTTGAATGCCTTGGGACCGGCCCTTCCTGTTTCATGGCTTCGCAGCCTTGCTGCCTACTCTCGGCTCTCGGCTAGGCTTTCCTCCCGCGAGGCACGCCTTGACTGTTTCTCTTCTCAGCCCATCGACGACGAGCTCAATCCTCTTCTCTTTGAGGAGGACTCGGTGTTGGTATGTTTTGGGGCGATTGCTCAAGGTGACCACTTAGGAGTTGAGATCGGCACCTGTGCCCATGGGGCACTCTTGGAATCAGCGGGCCTGTTGTGCGGCTCCAGCCGCTTGTGCTCCAACAGGCCTTTCAAGGGCAGCCGGTGCGCCCAAGGGCTCGTCATTGACGACTTCTTCTCTGTGTGTGTGCACAAGGACAGCGATCGCTCGGAGCCCGTTTGCGTGGATCACATCAGGCGGGCCAAAGCTGTTTATCAACGGGAGCAGCTTGCTGGTTCCGATGACAAGGATCTTTGGTGTGAGCCGTTTGCCAAGATTGCTGGAGCAGAGATAAATTCCACCAAGGAGGTTCGCAGCCTTGGGCTGATTACCTTAGCCTCTCCGGCCTGCAAGCGCCTGGCTCTTGCTGTGGTTTCTCTTGAGGCGGCCAGGTTTTCCTCGGTGTCGGATAGCCTTATGCTGTCCTTGGTTGGCAGCTGGACTTCGTCTCTGCTTTTTCGGCGGCCCCTGATGTCGGTCATGAGTGCGGTCTTTGAGGTCGTTGCTGCCAGCTCGGTGAAGCCCGGCTTTCCTCGACTTTGCTCGTTGCCTCGCTCCGCGGCTCAGGAGCTTGTTCTGCTTAGCGTTCTGTGCCCTCTGGCTGCGTCAGAACTTAGTGCTCCCGTTTGCCCTGACATTTATGCTACGGATGCCTCCGAGCACAAGGGCGGCTATGTCATTGCGAACGCTGGCCTCTCCCTCTCTAGGGCCCTCTGGCGCACCGCTTCGAAGAAGGGTGGCTACAGCCGCCTTTGGTCCCGTGAGGAGGCCACCCTTGCCAGGTTTACCGACAAGGAGGTTTTCGACCTTAGGGCTGTTGGTTTAAGTGCGGCTCAGGCCGGCCCCTCCAGGCCCCTCGCCTATCACTTTGACTTCCTTGAGGTTGGTCGCGGCCCCGGCTTGGTTGGGCCAATCCTGCTGCTTGGGCCTGACCAAAAGTGTGTTCGGGAGCCTTGAGGGGGGGTGGGGGGGGAATGCATCTCAGAACGCTTGGACTTTCCTGCGGACATGTGATTGAAGATTTGTGATTGAAAGTTTTTACTTCAGTGGAACAGCGTGTTTTGCAAGGCAGCTTGATCATGTGTACAGTGCCAATGAGATCGCTCCTCAGCAGAGTTACGACTCGAGTTCTTTTGTGAGTGGGTGGGCGTAGGGGACCTCCGGCGCTATGGCTCACCTTGAGTGAATTCCGGCAATGGGCTCGGAGTGGCAGCAGCTTCGAGAAATCAACCCTGTATTCTGCGAGCGTGTTTCGAAGGTCTTCTTTCATATTGGAAACTTTTGCTTGGCTGCAGCTACGCTTGAGGATGTACAGGCAATCGTGGATGATTCGATGAGTGATGTTCTTAAGATTGAGGATCGTGTGGCGCTTACAGAGTCAGTGCATAAGTGGTGCGCGCTTCATCAAGGGACAGTGGAAAGGACTGTTCGCGAGATCGGGCAGAATGTCCGACGGGGGCCTTATATCCGTCGTGGGCCCAGTGTGACGGCTGCCGATTTGTATGAGGGGCTTTTGGCTTCTGATCCTGTGCTGGGTTTGGCTGCTCTTGAGAAGAAGTTAAAGCTTCGCAAAGCTGGAACAGGGGCGCGTGTGGAAGCAGAGGACTTGTGCAGGCGCCGCTGGGGTCTCAAGCTCGCGGGCTACATCCAGGAGGCGGCTCTGCCAGCATCTGAGAGAATTGGATCGCTGGCTGACGCGGAATCGGCCTGGCTACGGGCGTTCGGTAGCAGGCGCGGCAAGACCTTGAAGAATCGGGCTCGCACGTGGGAGCCGGTGCGCGAGTGGATGATTCAGGCGACCGGGAAACCTTGGCCAGGAGACGCATCGCTGTTGCTGCAGTACTTCGATGAGAGGCATCAGATCAGGCCGATGGGGAAGACTGTTCCGCAGAGTATCTTGTCAAGCCTTGGTTTGCTGGAGCTGGTTGGGCAGAGGCCTTCAGCAGATAGGCTGTCGGAGGATCCTTTACTTGTGGAGTCTGTGAAGGCATGGACGATGCAATTGGAGACAGGTGCCGAGCCGGTCAAGCAGGCGGAGCTCGTTACGGTGGCGATGGTGCTCTCGGCTGAGATTCTGCTGGTGAAGGTCGGGACACCCCCTGGGCTGCGGTTCGGATGCTTCATTTTCTTGCTTATGTCAGGCTTATGTGTTGGGGAACGCTGCGATGTGACGATATACAGGGGATCGATCCTTCGAGTGTTACGCTGTCACAGCTTGGAATGAAATTTGTTCTCTCCCGGACCAAGACCTCTGGACCTGGAAAACGGATCGGGCAGCTGCACGGATACCTTGTGAGGAGCATAAGCCTTTCTGGCTATGACTGGATTGCGCATTCATGCAAACTCTTGATGAGCGAGGATTTCAAGTTTGCTCGGGATTTCTTGTGTCCAGACATTGGTGAGTCGTGGGAAGTCAAATCGAGGGAGTACGTTGGAGCAGAGGGCGTCGCCAACCTTGTGCGACGTGTGATCCTGGAGCTGCCGGTCCCGGGGAAGAAAGATGGAGTCTGGGGTCTGAGCAAGACAACGAAGCTGGTTCCGAAGGAGCTGGCGCTCTTCTGGTCCGGGCACTCGCCGAGGCATTTCCTTCCATCCTTGGCGGCAGCAATTGGGATCGACGAAAAGAAGCGCGACTTTCTCGGACGGTGGGCGGCTGCCCGGCAGGGGTCAACCGCTTATGTGCTGACGGCCAGACAAATTATTCAGCAAGTTCAGGCTGAGGTGTGCGAAACACTCTTGACTGGGAAGAACCAGCCCGGCTACATCGAGGAGGAGCTGCTTCTTCGCTTAAAGGCGTTTGCGGAGCAACATGGAGTTTCTAACGGGGCTGTTGCACGCCACAATGTCATGGTGTGGTGTGCACTCAACTTGTGCTGGAGTCTTCAAGGAAAGTTTCCGGCAATTGCAGTTGACCCTGGAAGCCATCAGCAAGCGGTGGCCGAGCCACCGAAGGACCAGCCGGCGCCTTCTCCGGAAGATGCAGATGCGCCATACTTTGTTGTTGTGAGTCGTAGTGGGCACAGACGTCTTCACATGTCACGCACTTGTGCTGTAAGGCAGGAGCGTTGCTTGGAGACCATTCCTTTGTACAGCATCACTCAGGATTCTGCAGATGCAATCTGTAAGTTATGCAGGCCCCGGCTACAGGAGCAAGGGGCGGTCAGCAGTGAGTCCGCATCCTCAGATGCAGTGGAGCCGTGACACATGAGGGGTGTGAAAATTTCGTCGCATCAGTGGCTTGTCCCGTGAGTCAAAGCAGGAAGTACTTCGGTTGTGCCACGTCCCGTGAGTATCAGATTGGGACATTGCATCAGATTGAGAAGAGCCGCAGTCACGTCAGTATCAGGTGCAGTGCTTTGACATGTCTTTCTTGTCTTAACGTTGTGCTAATTGAGGTGAGCCGATCAGACTCTTCAGACACAGTGGCATTTCTTCACACAGTGTGTTCGGAGGTAGCTTACAGTGAGTTCCAGACATGGATTTGCCAGCTGGAGTGAGTGAGGAAGCGGCTTCGAAGTTCTTGTCCACTGAAGTCGATGCTGAACTTGCACACATCCTTCAGGAAGCTGGAGTCCCGCTTGGATTGCAGTACAAACTCACACAGTCTTTCAAGACTGTGAGGCGGTTTCAGTCTTATGAGGACACCCGTGCAGGGATACGAGATGCCTTGAAGAACGATTTCGCTCTGGAGCCTACTACTCTTGATAAGCGTGCTGGGATCTCAGCTGTGATTAGTGCTTGGGAGGCATGTCAACAATTTGCCGCGAAAGAGCAGGAGCTTCGCGCGGAAGCGCGCGTGTTGGGGGTTTCAAGGCCCGTCACACAGACAGATCGGAGTGCGATGAGAGCCGCCTTCGAGGCGACCCACGGCAGGCTTGAAGATGCACATGAGCCTTCCGAGGATTACATCTCATGCAAGATGGAGGAGCTTGAGGCTCATGAGCCGACGGCTTCGCCGCTGTCCGAGGTTACATCACGCAAGACTGTGAAGACTCAGGGGATCCAGACTGCAGTCGATTCTTCAGGCCATGTTCGCATCGTGCGGACGAAGGTCAAGGGATCATTGCCTCAGGGCACTGAGGAATTGCGCACGGTGATGCGTGTTGAGTGCAACCTGTGGTGCTTCTTGGCGACCAAGTATCGCAACCGCGAGCTCTTGCGAGGCATGGACCCCGAGTGCTGGAATCAGTATGTTGCATTTCTGCTGTCTGACAAGGTTTACCTTATGAAGGTGCCGATGGCAGGTGGCAAGGGCAATCAGACCGAACATGTACCATTGCGGCCCCCTTGGTCAGTGTTGCTGAATTTCGAGTTTGAGTTGCGAAAGGAGGCAATCAAACGGGCTGTACAGGGCAATCGGCCTTTGAAGGATACACTCGCGGAGGTGACGTCTGATGCTCAGCTCAAGGAGCAGTATTTTACATCGCCCATTGCCCTTCAGCAGGTTGCACCTCCGCCGCGGCCAGATCCTTTCTGGCCACAGCGACGGTTCCGACAGTGGGACAATGATTGGTCCGAGAGCCCGGCCAAGTGGCAGCGAACAGGCAAAGGACGTGGCCATGGAAAGGGCAAGAACGGCAAGGGGGGCAAGGCCAACCGCGATGAATCCAAGGGCGATGGCAAGGGCCTCGGCGGTGGCAAGGGCAAGAGTGATCATGCGCTCTGGACACACACGCCGGATGGACGTCAGATTTGTTTTCCATATAACGCTCAGGGTTGTGATGGCAGCTGCGGTCGAGTTCATGTATGTCGCGTCCGAGGGTGCATGCAGTCCCATCCGATGTGGCAGCATTTCCAGAGCTTGGCAGCAAAGGCGGCAGCACCGACCGGGGCGCAAGCCGCCAACTGACGTTCCAAACTCACCGTGCTGTATCTTTTCGCTGGGCAGGCACGGGAAGGAGATATCAGATCACACTTACAGCAGCTCTGCACGTCGCGGGGACTGGATTTAATTTTGCATGAGTTTGATTTGCTGCGAGGTCCTGAACAGGATCTATCGTCGCACAGGCTTTGGGAGCGTCTCTTCAAGGACATTTCGTCTGGAGCCTATGATATCCTTATTTTGAGCCCGCCTTGTTCCACTTTTTCGCGGGCTAGACATCGTTTTGCGGGGGCATTTGGCCCACGCCCACTTCGTTCACATGGCCATCTGCTGGGTTTTCCTTGGTTGCGTGATTCAAATCGCACTAAAGTTGAGCTGGCAAATTTCTTCGTGCAACAATCGTTTGAGGCCATCCGTTTACAGAGGCAGCAGGGCCTGTACTTCATTCTTGAGCACCCTGAAGATCTGGGCCGTGTGCCGTCTGGTGAGAGGCCTGCTTCCATTTGGTCTTTTGATGAGGTTCGTCAGATTTGCGCTGGAGGCGATGTCAGTTGCTGGGCATTGCATCAATGCCTTTTCGGGGCTACGTCATGCAAACCCACCCGCTTGTTATCCAATTTGCCCGGAGCGTTGAACTTTGGGATACAGATGCCATGTTTCAATGATGACGGGGACTACGTGGGGCCGCTCTTGCGCTGTCCGCATTCACATGCAGATCGAGCCTGCGGTTTTCAGGATGGCACTTGGAAATCGGCAGCCACGGCGGCTTACCCTTCGGAGTTCGCTGCTTTCTTCGCCCGTCTCTCTTTGAGTGTGGTGCCTGAGCTGAGGGCCGTGGCTGACTCCGACCTGATCCCAGCCAACATCCCTTCATCCGCCGAAGCCTTTGCCACGGAGTGCATCGCACGCGGTTCTTTCGATCGTGCTTCAGTTCAGATTCTTTTCGACTTGCTTCCTAAGACTCGGCCTCATAAGATCACAGGCAGTGCAGAACCTGGCACCGCTTTCTTTGGAGGCACTGTGCACCAGGAGGGTCTCACCGCACCGCGGTCCACTTGTTTTACATTCCCCGAGTCCATGCGTGTGATCAATGCTTTTCTTCACTCCGTGGACCCGCACCACCGTTACGCTGCTTTTGTTCTCACAAAGAACGTTACTAGTGAGGTTCATCGTGATCCGCGGAATGCAGCTGTGCCCAACTTGATTGTGGCAATTTCCTCCTTTTCTGATGGTGGCATTTGGATACAGGATGACTCAGGTACCCAGGTGCGATCCTTTCACGGCTCGCCCGTCACAGGCACTGTACACTCCTTGCAAGACGGACCCGTCTACCTGGATGCCCGTGGATGTTTGCACGCTACCCAACCTTGGGTTGGGGATCGTCTCATCGCCATTGCATACACCCCTCAGAACGTGCACCTGCTCTCTGTTGATGATTCGGCTTTTCTGGCTTCATTGGGCTTTCCTGTCTTGGATTCCTCTCCTGCGGGGGGGGAGGCACCAGCGGAATCCTTCGTTTCCTCAGACAACTTCACCTTGGCTGCAGCAGTGCCGGCGATAGACAACTCAGGCACTGGAGACGCTCAGGAGGTCGTGGTGGTCGATCATGAGGAGTCGGCCAGGGAAGCTTTTGACCCCAAGACTAGTCGCGCTTTCGGGCAGCCCATGATCTGCAAGTTTGAAATGGGCAAGCAAGAGTTTGTGGACAGCTTCGGGTTGTGTTCGCCTGGCCGTTGGGCTCCCGAGGCGAGAGAGAAGTTGGCGTCGAGTGATGAGGTGGCACATGCAGAGGGAATTCGCGGATTGCTACGAGACTTTGTGATTGATCAGCTGAAAGACCCCAAGGACATGGCGTTCCGTCTCGCGACGGGCCATGTGAAGAATTCTCCTTTCGCGGAGTCTGCCTTGCAGAAGTTGAGGCAGAGGATCGTCGGGTTGATCCCAGGGGCGTCTTCAGACCTGCTGCGTGTACCCGAGCGGCAGCCGTTCCACTTGTACTTGCTGGCCGAGTCGCTGAGGCTACTTGGTGACCCCGACTGGGAGATTCTTGTGCAGGGGGAAGAGTGTTATGCCGAGGGGATGCCGGTGGGCTTCGACTCGCCACTGCCAACGGCGCCACAGGTGTTCCGGCCGAGGGACCGCTTCCGCAAGCTGGATGAGAGTGAGTTTGAACCGCAGATGCAGAACTACTCTTCTGCCGAGCTGTCTTCAGATAAGATCGAAGAGCACTTCAGGGCTGAGGAGCGGGAAGGCTTGATGGTGGCGACGACTGAAGGGGCCGTGATCGAAGGCGGAGTACGGCGAGGGGCGACTTCTGGTGCATGGCGGCCATTCTTAAACCAAGTGGTGATGTCCGCCCTCTTCACGATGCCACCCACGGCGTCCGCTTGAACAATGGTATAAGGATTGCAGACAAACTCGAAGTGCCTGGACCTGCAGAAATCATCGAGACCGTGTCCAGGGCGCGGCAGGATTTCGGCGTCCCCTTCTCCATTGCGGCGGACATTGCCAAGGCACACAGGAGGTCCAAAATACGACGACGCGACTGGCCCTTGATGGGCTGCCGGACTTCGTCGGCATCTAAAGTGATTTGGCTTAATTGCGTAGGAACTTTCGGGGTAAGTTCAGCTGCGATCCTTTGGGCCAGATTGTTCGGGTGCATCGGACGCTGGGTCTTGAGAGTGATGGGACGGCTCTGGAATGTGCAGATTGTGTACGTTGATGACCTTCATATCGTGGTGACTGGTCCCGACAAATACGTGGTGCTCTGGATGATTCTGGCTGCTTACGAGGTGCTGGGCACGCCGTTTTCTTACCGGAAGTTTCACGGTGGTGTTGAGTGCGAGTTCGTGGGCTACTGGCTTTCTTACCGAGAGAGTGCCGCCGGGATTTCGCTCAAGAGGACGCGCTGGGTTCTTGATTGGATCGACAATGCCGAGGCGAACAACTGGTTCGTCACAGGTCGGCGCTTTGCCGAATTCCTTGGGCGGCTCAACTTTGTTTCCAGGGTGTTGACTTGGATCAAGCCTTTTCTTGCACCGCTGTATGCTTTTGATGCCGTCTTGCAGAAGGGGACTGTGGCGAGGATTCCGGAGATGGTCTTCGTGTCGCTTGTTTATATCAGGGAACAGCTTGCGGAGTCCAGGGGACTCCACAGTGTGCTCCAGGATTGGCGGGCGCCGCGCGAGAGTTTCAGGACGGATGCAAAATGCACAAACGGCTTGGTGGTGCTCGGGGGCTACTCGCTTGAGAATGGGACGGACCCGTCAGTTGCACGCTGGTTCTGCCTCGATGTGTCGCAACAGGATCTGCCTTGCCTTTTCAAAGATGACGGCGATAGCCAATGGGCTTCGACGAGTGCGGAGTTGCTGGCCTCGCTTGCTGCGTTGAAAGTTTTTGATCACCTGGAAAAGGAGACGTCGGGAGTGCACGACAACATAAGGACTATGATTTGCGGGGGGACAGACAATTCTTCGACTGGCAAGCTGCAGAAGAAGGGCTCGAGCACTAAGTGGCCGCTGATGGGCATTCAGATGGCATGTGCAGCGGCTCTACACAAGGTGAACAAGCAGCTCACACTGCAGTGGAGGCCGAGGGATGAGAACACCTTGTCTGACGCTATCACCAATCACGATTTCTCGAGTTTCTGTCCGGAGCTGAGGGTTCCCTTGAAGCTTGACGATCTGCCGCTTGACATTTTCCTTCGGATGATTCATTCCAGGGAGGCCTTCGTGAATGCACGCGTCAGCTTACAACACCTGGTATCAAGAGAGACTTCGATGTCGCGTCGTGAGAAGGAGCAGAGCAAAACACCTTGGTGATGGCTTGAACTGACGGCCTTGCTGCCTTCCTACGGGGGGGAAGTGAGGCATCTGCGACCGTCATGTGAACATGTGGCGCATTGCTTCAGCCGACGAGGATCAGTTCGACGCACCGAGTGAAAACATCTGACTTCCTGAACGGCATCTTTTGTGTGACGCTTCAAGCTTGAGATTGATGGACTGCTGATTCTTCCTCTCACGACATTTGCATTGGCGTGGAGCTTCTGCTATTGCGCATGTGAGTTTTGGAAGCTTTGATTTTCCTGCGAAGTCTGATTTTCCCTTAAACCCTGTCCTCAACCCTCAAGGCTCAAAAGGTTCGGCTCAAGGCGTGAGAACACGAGCTTGGGCCCGAGACAGGAACTCCGCGAGTTCCAAGCTGGACAACACCGTAGGTAGGCTCGGTGGCTAAGTCTGTCTCGACTGTGCCATGGCTCCTTCCTCGGGGGGCGCTGTGGGTGCTGAGCGGAAAAGGATGATGGATTTGGCGGCCATGGAGGCCGCGACGTCGAGTACTCAGCTGACCCTACCTGTCAGCTACAGAAAGTTCAGGGGAGTTGCGCCGCGCAACTATGTTCTCAAAGCTATGCTTGAGGGTGAGCATGCTTCCATCGAAGACTTCCTGGAAAGGCTCAATGAGGATGCAAGTGCAGTTGTGGGATCGGCTGTGCTTGTGGATGAGCTCTTTCGTGTACGTGAAGCCCTCGTTCTTCTCTGGACCGAGCAGCTGACAAAGCGGTGTGATGGCGACCCCCCTTGGGTGGAGCGCCTCCAGGCGATGGGACATTTCCCAAGCACTACCCTGTGGTTTGCTGACGGGGACTTTGGCCTTGCTCCGGCGGAGGCCTATCGCGATGCAAGTGTCCAGCAGCAGCGGGGCAGCCGGGAGCAAGTGGCAGCAGCGCTGCCGCTTTCTGGTGGGCGACCTGGTGCTGGTGCGGACGCTGAGCTGGTGATGCAGCCGGCTGCTGGCGAGATTGAGGAGGATGCGGAGCTGGCTGGGCCTCCCGAAGTGGAGGCGACCAACCATGGCGACGCTGCTCTTCCTTGGCAGCCGGCGGCCAGATGTAGTAGCGTAAGGGCCCGACCCGAGAACCGCGAAAAATCAAAGAAGATCCGTGGAAGGACAAAGAGCCACCTAGCCCGGCCTCTCCCTGCCTCCTTGGTAACATGTTTTCTAAGACCGGCCCGTTCGGGGCCCCCTCCGAGAGTAGCTCTCCTTGCCGCCATGGCCTCGGTGCTGCAGCTCTCGGCCTGTGTCAGTGTCAGTCCCCTGCCTCTTGCGAACCGGCAGGTGTGGACTTCCTCGGGGGCCCCCTGGGCGCCACGGCCCAAGGTGGCAGTGCGATCGAGCAGAGCTGTGGCACGGATTTTCTTGGCGGCCCCATCTGGACGGTGCCGCAAGCGCATGCATATCCTAGTGCCAGTGTGGATCATGTGCAGCCTGTGCAGCAATCCACTTCCGTGCCTCCCGGTGTGTGTGCAATTTGGCAAGGTGTCCGTGTGGGTGAGGCAAAGCACCCGGGTCCGCGAGGCCCACCAGCAGTGATTACCTGGAACTGGCATTTGGGGTTTAGGTTCGGCGAAGCTTCACACCCGGGCCCTGCTGAGCCTACGAACCGAGGTGCTGGATGCCATCCCCCTTTCCCCTCTTGCTCTTGGGTTCTAGGTCCTCCGCGACGCCAGCAGCCGGCCCCGGCGCCGCTAGGCCCCCTAGGGTTTGAGTGTGCACCTAGGTGCTGCGTGACAGGCCGCCGGGCCCCTGCAGGCGAGCCGATGCTTTGTGTGTGCCATGACTGGAAGAGGGGATGCCGCCTGGGTGAGGCCTCTCACCCTGGGCCTGGCTTCAACCTTGACCTTGGCAACCTTGGGGATAGCCTTGGCGATAGCATCATGAAGTCGATCAAGGAGCAGATCCAGAAGGCAGTTGACGAGGCAGTAAAGCAGGCCCTGGCGTCGCTCAATCTCGGCCGGGGCTTGGCTGCTGCCCGGCCGTCCGGCGATCCAGACGTGCAGCTCGAGCCAAAGGGCAGGCGCAAGAGGAAACGTAAGGCCAAGCAGGCCACGAGCCACCCAGGTGGCAACCCCGACGTTTCGGGCAGCGAGCGTGCAGGTGGCCGCCAGAGCGCAGCCAAAGCAAGGGCAAGCCTGAAGACAAGTCTGGCCCAGCCAAGGTGGCCCAGCGCGATGGCCCAGGCGACTCAGGTCAACGCCGGGGCAAGGGCAAGGGCGGCTGTGGTGAGGCAGGCGGGCAGGAAGCCGGTGATGGCTGGCAGATCGTCCGGCGCAAGGCTCCGGAAGGCGCCTTCAAGCTTCGAAAATCTGATTGGGACGCTCCGGTCGTCGAGTACGCTGCCCTAGCTGAGTTCATTGACAAGGCTGATGCCAGCAAGGTCCTCGAACTTGTAGTCTTTGTTTCGGCCGACCAGGTCACGCTTGCTACGAACATTCTGCGGGGGAGCGGGCTGAGCTTCAAGGCCCTGCTTGTTTTCCTATCCAAGGATGAGGAGGCCCAGCGCATCCCGGGCACCATTGGGGATCGCCTGGTCTTCAGGACTGCTAAGGTCCAGAAGCTCACGTCTGCAGGTGCCAGTGGCCATGCTCCGCAGCCCACCGGCCTGAGCCAAACGTCCATCAAGATCAAACCCACTGAAAGTGCAGTCGTCTACTTTAAGGTGCCAAAGCAGTTCGCCTCAGCCGACACTTGGAAGGCTTTCGGGGGCAACGCCTCCAAGGCCGCTGTAGACTGGGTCGCGGCCCAAAGGATCAAGGTGCTCGACACTTTTGCCTGGGTCCTGGAAAAGCAGCGCAACGACACTCATGAGCAGTACTTTGGCATTGTTCGCATTCCGAAGGCAGATATTGAGGGCATCCTGGCCCACTCTGGCAAGGACGGTGTCTTCGTTGATGCCGCTCGCACCTCAGGGCCCCGGGCGAAGCTCCAATGGATCGAGAAGCTCCCCGGCGAGAAGGTGGACGCCTACTTTGAACGTGCCCTGCGCCAGGCTTCCAGCCTGGGCTTGGTCGTCAATGGGGGGCGATTGGCGTGGCGAAGTGCCATGGCAGCTGGAGAAGCAACGGTGCGCATCTGGCACATCGATGGTGTGCCCCACGAGTGGGATGCGGATGCCGTCGGCCAGCTCTTGGCCACACGCTTCACTGAGTACACCATCCTGTCGCATCGGCGCACCCGCCTCGGGTCCTGCTTTCGCTTCCGCGGGCAACCTGGAACCGCAGACACGGACCTGGTGCCGTTCGTCGTCGAGCATCAGGAGAAGCCCTTGTCCTTGTGGGCAACGCTGGCACCTTTCCGTGTCGTCTCCAAGAAGCAGAAGCCTCTCGCCTCGAAGGCCGTCCCGGTCGTTGCTCTCGAGCAGCCTGTCGTTGCCACCATCGTCAAACCTCCCACGGGGGAGCTGGCTACGGGCGAGGACGGCAAGGAAGTGCCCCAGCAGAAACGTGTCAAGCAGGAGGTGCGCACCAAGCCAGGTGACCTCCAGCTTAAGGCATGCCCTCGTGACGGAGCCTGCGTGCTGCACGCAATAAGCCTCGGCCTTCAATGGCTTGGTGACTCTCGGCCCAATCACCCGCGCATGCTCCGTGCGCAAATGGTCGAACACATGCGCCGGCATGTCACCCAGTACGAGAAGGAATGGGACGGCAAAGGGCCGGACAGTGAGCCGGTCAAGGACCGGGACTTTTCGGCCTACCTCACTCTTATGGAGAAGGAGGGGGCGTACTGCTCGGATGTCGAGCTGAGGGCCCTGGGCCGTGTGCTGGACATCAAAATCGTCGTGCTTCCGGCGGGCCTCAACTTTTCTCCTTACGCTTTTCATAGCAAAGCTGCCAAGATGCTGGTGCTGTGGTACGAGGATAACCACGTAGATCTCATGCTCCCGCCTGAGGGTCACAAGAAGTATCCAAGTGAGTATGCCCAGATCACAGCTGGACCCGTCTTTGGGCTGCGTGCAGGTGGCCGTGGGCCCCCATCGGTCTTCACTGCCTCCTCTGCTGCCTGTGTTCGATCCCAGCCTTCCTCTCAGTGGACCTCGGTCATGGACGGCGAAGGGGCAAAATCCCAGGCTCGCCCGGCATCCGTCTGGACCACCTCGATGCCGGCGAGCGCCTCGGGGAGTGCTGCGGGGCGGCCCTCGATCGAAGCCCAGCCCTCTTTGCAAGGTAGGCGGCCCAGGTCACAGGTTTCACAGGCCAGGTCTTCAGGCAGCCGGGTGCCGTCGCAGGCAAAGGTGCAGGCCCTTTCCCGGCCGTGCCCACTCAGTGCCAGGTGCAAGGCAAAGGCATTGCATGGTTCCCAAACCAAGCCCAGGGGCGAGCCACAGGCGAGGTCATCACAGGCCATGGCCCAGGCAAGGCCCTCAGGCACCAAGCGCAAGGCGGTAGAGCTGTGCACTTCGTCCGTCTTCACCTGCACCTCTACTGGCACTATCGAGGCCTTCGATGAATCCGAGTTTGAGCGAGCTCGTGCGCCCCCGAAGCGCTGCCCCTGTGATGAAACATTACATCCCTGCCCTTTGTACACACGTTGCTTGAACAGTTTACATGTGTTAACACGTGATTTTGGCATGAGCCCAATTTCATGGAGCACATTGTGAATTGCAGAACTCCGCTACGTACCAGGCTCTGAGTTGTGGAAAAGTCCGATTACGTTTTCATGATAGCGGAGCTGGGCCGACCCAGCTTCGAGACACGTGAACTTTCTTTGGGTCCTGTTCAGGGGCCATCGGGCTTGAACTTTTCGCTTTTGACTTTTGGTGTTGAGGGCCTAGGTGTGTAGTCACCTGCGGCCCCGATCCGCCCGCGCTTCCTCTCGGCAGCACGGCTGCCTCTTTGGCCTCTCTGGAGGCTATCAAGGCCAGAGTTACTGAACTGCATCTTGAGCAGCTGCTACAGCGCGAACGCCCCGCTGGCAGATCTGCTGAAGGGTGGCAGAATATCCTGAGTACCGCCCAACGTTCGCTGGAGGCGAACTTGGCTTCTCTGGAGACTACTCAGCAAGTGTGGGACTTTGCCCACCGGTGTTTGAAGGACAGCCACCTTAAACAAGTTTTCCGGTTCTTTGCAGTTGACGACGTGTGTGACGAAGCAATCCCTGAAGCCTTGATACACGACACAGTTTTTGCGACAGAGGAGCGCGAGTTGTTTGAGCGAGATTTGGAAGCTTTTGGTTTTTCAACAGGTGCTGCTTCGAGTGAGGCCGCGTTCTCCGAACTGCAGGCCCCTCCGGATCAGCCGATCGAGTTGCAAGGGCCCGAGCCCCGACGCACATTTGGTGCCAATCTGTGTTTGAACAGTTGCAAGGAGGTGATTGATATTGATTGATTGCCCTGCTTTACAGAGCAATGGCGAATATTGGAGATGAGACGGATGAGGAGCTTACAGGCCCCCCTGGAGCCACCGCCTCAGCGCACGGAATGGGTCCTGCGCCTTTCATGCAGCCACCGCCTACAAACCCTTTTCAGCCAACGAGCCCTACCAATGCTGGAAGTGAAATTGCTATGACAGCTGCCGACTTGAGAGTTCTTATGCAACGCATGTCGGAGGCCACACAGGCTGCCAGTGCGGCTGCTCAAGCCGCCGCTTTTGCAAGCACGGCCCAAGGTGCTCGACCTATGGGTGTTGGAGATCTGACCAAGGTGCTACCGAAGCCGGATCCGTTCCGGCCCACTACGAGAGATGAGGAGTTTGCGCAATGGCCTCAGTGGAGCTGGACGTTTGAACAGTATTTATCGTGCTTGGAACCAGAGTTCAGCAGCGAGCTTCGTGAGTATGGCCGGCAGCAGACAGCAGTGATCTTGAGTTCTCTTGATGATGGTGCCAAGCGGCGGTCTCGGCTGCTGTACGGCATGTTGAATGGCCTACTGTATGAACGCGGCAGGCGACTGTTGCGATCTGTTCAGGAGCAGAACGGGTTTGAGGCATGGAGACTGCTCAGCAAAGATCTTATGCCAAAGACCCGCAATCGAGTTTTAGCTTTGCTGCGTACGATCAACAGCTGGCCGTCTTTTGCGGCCCAACAAGGACTTGCCCAGCAGCTGCTGCGACTTGAAAGCGCCTTTGAGGAGTATGAGCGCCTCGAGCCAGGCGGTCTCCCGGAGAACAACAAGATGGCCACTCTCCTCAGTTGCTTGACAGGCCAGCTCCGTCAGCATGCCAATGTAGTCATATCTGACGACAGCACGTACAGTGATTTGCGTGAGCTTGTGCTGCGTTGGGATGGAGCTAACACGAAGTGGCAAACCAGTGTTGCTTCGAGTTACGGCCTGAGTGATGGAAAGAAAGGCTTGCATGATACCGGCGATGTTGCGCCGATGGATATAGACCGTGTGCATGCAAAAGGTGATAAAGGCAAAGACCGCAAGGGCAGGCCCAAAGGCGGCAAAGGCGACAAGGGCAAAGACGGCAAGGGCAAGCACAACAAAGGCAGCAAAGGCGATGCAGGCAAAGGCGACAAGGGCAAGAGCAAGGGGACAAAGGTGGCAATGCAAAGGGCAATTGGCCCTCCGTGTGCGGTTGGTGCCAGAAGCCGGGGCACTACAAGCGTGACTGCTTTCAGTTCAAGGCCTACATGCAAGGCCATCAGAAAGGTGCCCGGCAGGTTCAGGCCAACTCTTCTGCAGCGTCCGATGCCGGCACTAGCACGACTGCCCCATCTTCTGCGAGTGCCCTTCAAGCCCAGCAAGGCAAAGCAGGACAGTCCACCGTTCGCCGTGTTGCGGCTGAGCCACTTGTTTTCGACATGTCAGACCTGGAGGATCCGTTTCCTTATGAGCCCAATGTCTGTATGATCACTGTGACTGCGCCACAGAGTTATGCAATGGATTCCCAGGATGATGATGACCAGTGGACCCTGCCTCCTGATGACTATGCTGTGCTTGACTTGGCGCCGAGTCCTGCTACTGCGTGTGTTCGAGCAGTGACTGACGCAGGCCAGTGTGTGATCATCGACTCGGGTGCCGACATCTCTTGCATCCCTGAGACTTTTCAGTCTTGTGGCCGTGCCGCTCGTGCACGACCGCTGCAGGTTCAAGATGCCCAAGGGGGCGCGATGAAGATTCAGGCCGAACGGTTGATAGAGTTTGTGCTGTTTGGTGGGCCCCGGCCCGTGGTCATTCGTGAACGCTGCATTGTGGCAAAGGTCACCCAACCACTGTTAAGCCTTGGACGACTCATGCGTAAGGGATGGTGGCCTATTCGCCAAGGTCAAGGTGACAATGCAGGCGCAGGTCCTATGTGCTTGCGCCACCCACGGAGTGGTGCCGAGGTGCCCCTGCTGTTCAAAGGCTACTCATTGGCCGTGAATGCTCAGATCCGTCGTGTGGAGCATGAGGGCCAAGACTTGATGTACTACAATCCAGGTGCAGGTGAGGTCAACAGCCACTCTGAGGACGAAGTGAGCGAGAGCGAGGTCCGTGATGCCAACAGCCAGGTCCGTGATGCCAACAGCCAGGTCCGTGATGCCAACAGCCAACAGGTCCGTGATGCCGACAGCCAACAGGTCCGTGATGCCGACAGCCAACAGGTCCGTGATGCCGACAGCCAACAGGTCTGTGATGCCGCATGCAGTCATTCCCAGTTTCAGGTCACAGGTGAGGTCCAAGAGGTGTGCCCAAGCCAGGTGCAAGTTGCATCCATCCAGGTGCGTTTTGAGGCTAAGACGCTTGAGTCTCTCGATTTCGGATGGCAAGTCAGTTCGTCTGGTCACCTGGTGTGGAGAGGTCGCACAAGTAGGTTTGTCGATCCGAGTTTCATGGCGCCAATCGGCTGGCCTCTCAGGAGCACCCTCATTTGCCGCAGTGGGACTTGGTTTCTGCTTGAGCACTGCGTGCCGTGGGCTGACTTGAAAGAGGTTGAAGCCGTTTTGCCCGGAGGTCAGGTTGCTGAGGTAATTTCATTTTTGCACGTGCAGGTTGAGCCCGTGTCAGAGATGGGTGTGCAGCTCCCTGCAGGCATGACCGAACCACAAGGTCTGCCAGAGCCAGATTTTTATCATTTTCGAGCAGAGACTGAGCAAGCACCTGTCGGGACAGTTGAGCATGATCGTGTGGTGCCCGATGATGAGGCTATGCAAGGCCTAGAGGATGCAGCTGGACAACCGAGCCCAGCGCCAATGCCACTGCCCGACCAGTTGGAAGCTGGAGTGCCAACCGACAATGTCGATCCGCTGAGCCTTGATGGTGTGCTCATTGCGCATGACTCCAGCCTAGCTGTTCTGAAAACTGCAGCAGCCAAGCTGAACCTTAGTACGGCTGGCTCCAAGTCCCGCCTCTTCAGCCGTGTCAAGGGATATCTTGAGAAGCAGCGTTTGGCCTTGGAGTTGGAGCTTGCTGCCGATGCTCAGTCCTCAGGTGAGAGGCAACCCAGGGTTCAACCGGTCGCAGCCGCGCCCACCGAGGCGGAACGATTCCTTCATGAGTGCACCCACGTGCCTTTCAAGCCATGGTGCCCACACTGCATCAGCATGCGAGCAATGCCCGATCGGAGTGAGTACTTGAAGGAGGGCCCCCGCGACAACCCAATTATTCAATTTGATTTTTCATTTTCAGGGTACAGTGTGCCAGACGGCATTTGCAACCTCGATGCTGCTCCTGAGGACTCCCAGCGTGCACTTAAGTGCCTTGTGGCGCATGACAGCGCTACTGGCATGATCGCAGCGATTCCATGTGAGTCCAAAGGCGACACAAGGTACCTAGGCATCGAGCTTATGAGGTTCATCCAAAGCCTCGGTCACACCACCGTGACCCTGAAGTGCGACAACGAGCCCTCCACTCTGACTCTGCAGCGAGCTATCGTCACGGCTCGGCAACGGCTCGGGTTGCAGACGCTTGTTCAGAATCCTGCAATAGGTGCCAAAGGTTCCCTAGGCTTTTGTGAGAAGGCCATTGACTCGGTGCGGAAGCTTGCAAACACTTTGCTTGATCAGGCTCGCCACCGCACCGGCCTTCCCCTGCCTACAACGCATGTTCTGTTTGCCTGGGCTTTTGTGCACAGTGCGTGGCTGCTCAACAGACACAGAGTGATTGGCAACATGACAGCCTATGAAAGGGCCTGTGGGGCTAAGTACAGTGGGCGAATTGCGCCGTTCGCCGAACCGGTTTACTGCCAGCTTGATGTTAAGCAGAAAGGCGACAAGCGGTGGATGCTTGGAATCCTGGTGAGCAAATCCTCGCTCAACGACATGTACATCATTGCTGGCAAGGACGGAATACGACTGTCACGATCCATCCGCCGTGTGGGTCAACCTTGGGAGCTTGAAGTGCAGCTCTATCGGGAGCTGAAGGGCTATCCTTGGGATTATGGAAGTGGTGTTATAGGCACCAAGTTTGTGGCAATGCCGAAACAACGGCATCCGGCTGTGGATCCAGTGCGGGATGTTGCACCGCCAAGGTCCCCTGATGAGGCTGCGAGCGAGCCCCCAACACCTGCAGTTGAGGCACTTGGGATGCCGGTTACGCCGTTGGGCGGGGCCGGAGCAATGGCGCCACCGAGGCGCAATGTGCCTCCTCCTGAGAGTGCTCGAGCAATTCCAGATGAGAGCATGGCTGGTGTTGAAGCTGAGCCTCCGGGGCCCAATCCTGCAATGAGGCCCGATCCACCTAGCACGCCTGAAGCAGAACTGCCACCGTTGAAGAAGCTGCGCATCCGTGCTGTGACTTTTGGTGAGCAGTCTTATGAAGTGAACGATGAAGGCGAGTTTGATTTGGACCAGCCTGACGGCTGGGAAGTGCAGACCAAGCTTTGGTCCATGGAGTCCGAGACGGACGACAGTTTCATGAATGAGGTGAAGGCCAATCCCGAAGCGGAAGTGGCCGAAGATGATGACAGACTGTGGTTTCCCGACAATGGAAGGGAGCCAGAGCTCGATGATGCCATTTTGGCCGAGCTTGACAACCTTGCTGATCAAGTTGAGGTCAGCAGACTGCTGAAGAAATCTGTGCTAAGACATGCCACGAGTGATGATGATCTGGGTTCGATGAAGAGCCTCACTACAAAGTTTGTTCGAACGTGGCGGCACAAGAAGCGGAATGGGGTTCCTTCATGGTACCGCCGATCCAGACTGTGTGCTCGGGAGTTTCGGTGGTTGGATGAGTCCAAAGAAGGGTTGTTTAGCCCTGCTACAAGCACGGACATTGTGCGCCTCATCCCGGCGCAGTGGCTGAATTGGAAGCAATCGCGGCCATCCGAGCAGTATGCCATTTTGGCGCTCGACGTGAAAGATGCATACCTTGAGGTTCCCCAGCCGACGCCAGTGGTTTCCAAAGTGCAAGGTCAAGACCTCGTGTTCATGCGAATGGTTCCGGGGCAACGTGAAGGATCACAACAGTGGTTCTCACACTTCTGCGAGTATCTCGGAGAGCACTTCGTGATTGAAAAGTGCAAGGAGTGCCCTGCGGTAGTGCATGTCAGCAGCAAGCCAGGATCTGATGGAGTTTGTGCAGACAAGGGTCCGGGCATGATCCATGTTGATGATTCCTTACTTCTTTTGCCGCTCCAGTGGGCCCGCGAGTGCTTTCTTCCAGTGATTGAACAGCGATTTCAGATCACGTATGAGCTTGCATATGAGGTGGGTCATTCTTTCAGTTTCCTCAAGCGTGAGCATACGATTACAGAACAGGGTATTGTGATTCGGCAACCCTCTTCCTACATTGAGCAGATGAAGCAGACCATGAATGTCACGCGAAACAACCGACAACGGGTTCCATGTTGGAGTGAACTTCGTGCTAAGGACACCACCCGTGAGCTCAACCACACCGATGCAAGCAAGTTTCGACAAGCAGTGGGAACAGCCTTATACATATCTTGCGACCGGCCCGATGTGGGCTATGCTGTGCGCATGCTTGCAAGCTACATGGCGAGGCCGACTGAGCATGCAAAGGTTGGTTTGATCAAGCTGATCCAGTACCTTATCAACACATGTGATTATGGGATCCTGATGAAGTTTGCCGCTCCTGGGACAAGGAAACTGAACGGTTATGTGTATGATTCTGGTTGTGCAGATGACGCTGAGCGTAATGTACTGGAGGTGTTTTCGGATGCCGACTGGTCAGGGTCGAAGAAGGATCGTCGATCATATGGTGGAGCGAGTTTCTGTGTGAACGGACAATATGTCCACTACATCTGTAGATCTCAGAAGTGCATCAGTTTGAGTTCGATGGAAAGCGAGTACTACAGTGCTGTGGGAAGCGCGTGCCAGGGGCTGTTCATGAAGGCTGTGATCGAGTTTATGAGCCGGAGCCCCTGCGACCTGATCCTGTATGTTGACAACCAATCGTGCAAGGCCTTCTGTTTGCGTCAGGGAGTTACAAAAGCCAGCAAGCATTTCGAGGGCCGGCTATTGTGGTTGCAGGACATTGTTCAGCAGAAGCGGCTGGTGATGAAATACATCTCGACCCACTTCAATTTAGGAGACCTTCACACCAAGCCACTTTCCCCAAGCCGATTGCGAACTCTACTGTTTCTTCATGACTTTGTGGACTGCCACTCAAGGCCAATCGGGGAGAATGAGTGGGAGCACACGTGCACTGCGGCGACGATCCGAGCTCAGGTCAAGCGTGTTCGTACAGTGGCAGGCAATGACATGTCGAACACGTGGGTTAAGCGAGTGGCAATGCTTTTGCTTATGATGCCGATTCCTGCGGAAGCGAGTGCAGTGACAAGTGTCAACATGAGTGCATGCTTCTTCCTTGCAGTGCTTGTTTCGATGTACATGGCAGTGTATGCAATGGAGAGCACGGCAGAGCATGGTGCCAATGGTGGTGATGAAGGATGGCTGTATATTGCAGCACCCGGCGGGCCGTGGTACCGTCGTGGGGCAATGTATGCCGCTTGTGTTATGATGGCGACAATTGCTTGGAGCCTTGGGTCAATTTCGGCCGGTTTCTTTCGTGATGTGGAGATTGAATCTACCACTACGACTACGACAACGACGACAACGTCAAGCAGCCATGATATGATTTCTTTTATGCTTCTTTGCGGGCTGCTGTGCATACTTGTGGCACTGAGCATTTTGCTCGTGCGCACTCGGTGTGCGCTCAATCGAGAGCGCATTGAGGTTCGAGAACTTGGAGCTTTGTGTTCGGCTCTATGGGATGAGCAGAAGGACGATAAGAGGGCGCTTCACGAGCTGAAGCGCGAGAATCGTTCATTGCGGGACGAGAACGCGATGATACAACTTGAGTTCTATGAAATGCCTCACGGAAGGCAGTGTGCAATGCGTGATGCTATCACGCAGACATGATGCCATTTGTGGTCACCAATTCCCTTTACGGTGGCCAGGCATGTGAAAACTGAGAGCCCGTGTTACGTGCGCCAGGCTTTGCGGTGCACAGGGCATGATGAGGAGTGAGTTTCACTTGAGTTTCAGTGAGCTTCGTAGTGTACTGTAGCCAACTAGCGAACCTCAGGCGGGGTGATGAAACATTACATCCCTGCCCTTTGTACACACGTTGCTTGAACAGTTTACATGTGTTAACACGTGATTTTGGCATGAGCCCAATTTCATGGAGCACATTGTGAATTGCAGAACTCCGCTACGTACCAGGCTCTGAGTTGTGGAAAAGTCCGATTACGTTTTCACCCTGGCTGGCCCATGCCACGGCACCGGCTGACCTCACCTTTCGGTGCAACTTGTGCCCTTACAAGCGCAAGGCCACGAGCAACCACCAGTACTACCACATCCGCCACAACCACTACCAGCGTGCCCATGAGGGGCAGGGCCTGCAGCCGGACATCGGGCGACCCAAGCTCACGCGGGTCTGCGGCCCAACAGCTCAGTTCATCTGGTGTTGCCCTTTCTGCAACAAGGGAATCACGCACGAGACTCGGAAGGACCTTTCTCGATTCTCCTACTATGCCCTGCGCAACCAGCATCGTGCACAGGCCCACCCCGAGGTCTCCAAGGCTGAGTGGCAGCGTCTTGCGGCACTCCCGCAAACCGGGCCCAAGGATCGCCAGGTGCATGCCAAAGGGTGCCGCCAGCGCAACCTCACCAAGGCCGTGTTTGCTCAAGTCAGGACCCCTCGCTTTGGGGACCAGATGCAGCTCTTTGTGTGGCCTCGAGCCAGGTGTGAGAAACGCAGCACCCGGGTCAAGCATGTCCTCCTTGAGCATGGTTGGAAGTGCCTCCGGTGCGGTGAGTGCACCAGGGACCTGGCTGCCGCCAAGCAGCATAGCGAGGGCCGGTGCAAGTCGCAGAGCAACACCCAGAAGCGGATCCAAAAACTTGATGCCATCGAGGCGTGGGCCCGGCGTGCCGGAGGTGATCCCGACTTCTGCTCCCAGGTGCTCCGTGCTGCCGCGGCTGCCAAGCTTGCCATCTCCATGCGAAACCCCTCCTCGCCGTGTTCATCAAGCTTTTGAGCATCAATGCGAACCGCACGGCCATCTCCAAAGTGGACCTGTGTGCCGACTTCCTCCAGTCGTGTGGGGCTGAGCTTGTCTCTTCAGGAGGCTGACATCAACCCTTTGTCGGCCCAGGGTTTTGGTGAGCGCTGGCGTGCCCATGGCTATCGGGCTGTTCTCAGCGACATTGATGCTGCCAAGGGTGTGCATAGGGTGGCCTTGGTCGCCTCCCTCCCCATGCATCGTGTGAACCTTAAGCTTCCTCCGCATGTGGCTGCGCGCTGTGCTGCAGGTGCTTTTGAAATGCAGGCTGCTGGCAGCAAGTGCATCACCCTTGTGGTGGCCTTCTACGGCTTCCCTGGTCAGCCAGCTGCCACAGCCCAGGCCTTAGGTGAGGTTAGGCCTGCAGCTGCGACCTTCGGCGGCCCCTACATCTTGCTCGGCGATTTCAATGTTGACCAGTCTGAGCAAGCTGTAGTGCAGCTGTTGTGCGATGGTGAGCTCCGGTCTCTGGATGAGGCGGACTGGACCCAAGCCGGCCCAACAAATCCCACGCGCACCCGGCGCATTGATTTTGGCCTGGCCCATTGGTCAATCATTGCGACGGCTGTCAAGCAGTTCGAGCGCCCGGACCTTTCGGACCACGGGTGCGTCTTCTACGAAACGCGGTGCCTGAGCCGTGCCGACAGCTTCTCCATGCCTAAGTTTCGTGAGCTCCCTGCCACGGCCACTGAAGACATCCTGTCTAACTTTGGTAGGGTCTGGGATGCCGCACACTTTGAGAGTTCTATTGCAGGTGGGGCTCTTGATGAAGCCTGGGCCTTCTTGTCAGACGTGGCCGAGCGCACGCTGGGTGCCACTTCGCTCTTCGATGCCTCCGGTGCCCGCAGGAGCGACCACTGGCTCCCTTGTGCCCGCCACGAGTCTCACCATCGTGTCGGCCCCCAGGGTCATGAGTCCCAGTCCCTCCGTTCATCTCGCAAGTTGCTTGGGCAATTGCACCAACTGCGGCAACAGCCCCACTGTCAGAAGCTGTGGCGTGCGGTGGGCCGCCGGGCTGGGCTCCTGCGTGCCACTTTCCCCGACCTCCCTGTGATACATGCTGCCAACCTTGCAGGTGCCACCCAGGTGATCTCTCATTTGCATGCCGAGCTTCAGCAGCAGGAGACGGAGGCCAGAGTGCACAGGTGGCGTCGCCGTGTTGAGGAGGATCCCTCTCGTGCCCTCGCCTGGGTCAAGCGCAAAGCTGGCCATCAGTTGGCCATGGAGCAATCTCCTCAGGCACCTGCTGGTGTCCCTTCCTCTGTTCACCCTGCCTCTATTGTCGAGGAGCATGGTAAAGTGTGGCTGCAGCACTGGAAGCCGGAGTCCCCTGTCAACTTCGATGCCGTGCAGCGCATCCTTGACCGTGTCCCGGGCGGGCCGCAATCGGACATTGTGCTCCAGGTCGAGGCTGAGGCTCTGATGCGGGCCACCAAGGCAATGCGGGGGAAAGCGATGGGCCCTGACCGATGGTCAGCGGAGCTTCTGCTCCGCCTCCCAGTGCAGTGGTGGGAAGCGGCGGCCACTCTGTGGAATGCGGTGCTCTCCACGAAGTACGTCCCTCGACTCTGGCGCCGGGCACTGATTGCCCTGGTGCCGAAGCGCCTGGATGAATACCGACCGATCGCCTTGTGCCCTGTCATCTGGCGAGCTGGTGCCCACTGCATCTCTCGCAATGTGCTGCCGTGGATGGACACATGGCTGGGCCACCACACCTTGGGCGGTGCACCATGTCGAGGCCCGGGCGACGCTCATGCCCGGCTCTTTCATGCGTGGCAGAGCGGCGGCAAAGTCTTTTGCCAGCAGGACCTCACGCGGTTCTTCGACTCTCTTGATGTCAAGGCGGTGGGTATGGTGCTCCGGCACCTTGGTGCTCCTGCTGGCCTCGCTGAGCTCTTAGCCTCCTTCTACCAGGATGCCTCGAGGCTTTTTCTGCACGAGGGCCGGTCCAGCAGTGCATGGGGCAGCCCGGCGCGGGGCCTGGCGCAGGGATGCCCACTCTCTCCAATGGCCGCGGTTGCGGTCGGCCATATCTGGGCCATGTGGGTCCAGTCCTTTGCCAAGGGACGCACCGACTGCCTCATCTTTATAGACGACCGGGTGTTGTGGCCTTCCTGCACGTGTGCGGACCCTCTTGGGGCAATGGATGTGGCATTGAGGGCTTCTGACTCCTTCGACCAAGCCTTCGGTTTCCAGTGCCGTGCCAGCAAGTGTGCTGTAGTGTGTCCACCCGATGTCGGGACTTTCGATCAGTGGGCCAGTGCCAGGAGCTACCCACGCGTGACTACTTTAAAGGTGCTGGGCATCACCCTCGACATGCAGGAGGGTGCCCTGGGGCTCCTTAAGTTCAGCCCGCGCCTGCTCCTGCATCGCCTTCGCTTCCTCAAGCTCCTGGGAGGGGAGGTGCCCCAGCTCCGTCGCATCGTGCTGCAGCTGGTCCACTCGGCCATGTTTTGGGCTGGTGGTGCCGCCTGCCCGGACCGCGACTGCTTGCGCGACGTCTGGCACTCCACTTGTGCTGTCCTGCAAAAGCACGCCACCTTCGAGTCTCCTAAAGTCTTGCTGTGTGCTTCTTTTGGCTGGATGTTGGACCCTGAATGGGCGGCGGACTGGGCATCCCTGCGGGCTGCCTGGCGTTTCAAGGCTCGGCCCCCGGCATGGCTCGACACGGCTGGGCTCGATGTTGCTTGTGGTGACTGGCGTCGCTTCCTCCCTGGTGCGGCGGCGGTTGTGCAGAGGTTAGGCTGGCAGGTCCATGGCAACGGCGCCACCCTGGCGCGACTCGACGATTCCGGTACCCTCCGTCAGTGCCACCTTGGCTGGGAATCCTTTGATGTGGTCAAGCGCTGGCTTGTGGACCACTACAAGTGGCAGGGCGTGCATTCGTGTGGGCGGATCCGCAATCGTGGCCACCGCGATGATGCAACGTTGGCCCGTGGTCTCAGCCTGGGGGCCCCACTCCGCAGTGCCCGGTTTGCGCTCGAAGGCCACCGACTCGCAGTTGCGGCTGAGCCTACACGTGAAGTTCGCCTTGCAGCACTGGGCTCGGGCGGCTCCATCTGGTACCACTGCAAACGGCTGGAGATGAGCTCACCCGACACCACGGCGTGTGTTTGTGGCCTCTTGCAGCCCAGCCGAGCGCATCTCACCTGGTGTTGCTCCTCAACGACGGGATTGCGGCAAGGTCTCGCACCTCCTTCCACCCGTGCTGGTGAACGGCTCTTTGCGGCCGAAATCACTGAGTACCCTGCAGCTCCTGCAGCTTCGGACTTTGAAAACACCCTTCAGAGCATTGTGGCGCATCTTCGCAACTTCGCTACTGTGGGCGAGCGTCTGCTCATCGCGACCGATGGCAGTGCTAAGTTTGATGTCGGCGGCTGCGCCGTGATCTTCGGAAGCGGCGATGGCACCTTCGTCTTCGGTGATGCCTGTGAGGACCAGTCGGCTTTCCGATGTGAGCTCCTCACTTTGACGACCCTCTTCGAGGCGATCTCTCGTGCGCAGTTGGCCCCAGGCTGTCAGGTTGGCATCCTGGTGGATTGCAGCTCTGCTCTTCAGGCTGTGGCTCAACCTGAGGCGTGCTCCATGCCTCTCCTGGCTCACAAGGCTGCGAGGCTACTCCGTGATGTGCGTGCCGGTGGCTTGGACCTGAAGCTTTCGTGGACTCCTGCACATGGTCGGCGGCCCAACTGGACTGCTCCCTGGGGCCTAACGGCCGACCGCTGCAGGGACCTCAACGAACGGGCCGATGCGGCTGCCAACAGCATTCGCGAGCACCGGGCTCGTGGATCGGGCAGGGTGAGCTGGCATGCAGAGCTTCATCGTGCAGCGCTTTGGGAGCGGGGGGCCATCTTGGCTTCTGCTGGTGCCTCCAATGTCTTGGCGCAGCACCTTCGTGCGAGGCGGCCGGCTCGTATCATTCAAGATGATCCGTGAAACTCGCTACGACACTGAACATTTGCATCGTTGACGGCTTCTACGGTGGCTCCCTCGGGGAACTACGTGCTGCACCGCTTCTTCTGGCTGCCGCCGCTGGCTGCTGGCTGCGGTGGCGTGCTGCGGGGCGTGGGCTGCTGGCTGAGGCGCGCTGCTGTGTCCCTCTGAGTTCCTACGTCGAGTCCATCTGAAGCCGTAGAGGTGTACAGCTGCTCCGCACGTCACTTCGATGCTGCTTAGGCTCTCGCTAGGCAGTTTGTGCTTGCTGTGTAGCCCTGCACCTCTCCTTTTAGCAAACCCGAGCCAAAGGCTCACTTTTCTTCTCGGCTCTCCTGAGCCTTAGTTTCCCATGTTTCGGCTAATATGGCCTCAACGACTCTAGTTTGTTTGGTCTTTCATGCCTCAGCTTCAAGCACCTTGGATTGTACAGCTGTCACATGTCCTCTGCTTGTCAGCTTCATGTTTGACCTTTTAGGTTCGGTCTCACAACCGACAACCAAAGACGTTACTGGACGCGCAGATCGGGACTTCGTTGCGATGCCCGAATCTTGCCTGAACCGCAGTTAGGCGTGAGAACACGTAGCTTGGGCCCGAGACAGGAACTCCGCGAGTTCCAAGCTGGACAACACCGTAGGTAGGCTCGGTGGCTAAGTCTGTCTCGACTGTGCCATGGCTCCTTCCTCGGGAGGCGCTGTGGGTGCTGAGCGGAAAAGGATGATGGATTTGGCGGCCATGGAGGCCGCGACGTCGAGTACTCAGCTGATCCTACCTGTCAGCTACAGAAAGTTCAGGGGAGTTGCGCCGCGCAACTAAGTTCTCAAAGCTATGCCTGAGGGTGAGCATGCTTCTATCGAAGACTTCCTGGAAAGGCTCAATGAGGATGCCAGTGCAGTTGTGGGATCGGCTGTGCTAGTGGATGAGCTCTTTCGTGTACGTGAAGCCCTCGTTCTTCTCTGGACCGAGCAGCTGACAAAGCGGTGTGATGGCGACCCACCTTGGGTGGAGCGCCTCCAGGCGATGGGACATTTCCCAAGCACTACCCTGTGGTTTGCTGACGGGGACTTTGGCCTTGCTCCGGCGGAGGCCTATCGCGATGCAAATGTCCAGCAGCAGCGGGGCAGCCGGGAGCAAGTGGCAGCAGGGCTGCCGCCTTCTGGTGGGCGACCTGGTGCTGGTGCGGACGCTGAGCTGGTGACGCAGCCGGCTGCTGGCGAGATTGAGGAGAATGCGGAGCTGGCTGGGCCTTCCGAAGTGGAGGCGACCAACCATGGCGACGCTGCTCTTCCTTTGCAGCCGGCGGCCAGATGTAGTAGCGTAAGGGCCCCGACCCGAGAACCGCGAAAAATCAAAGAAGATCCGTGGAAGGACAAAGAGCCACCTAGCCCGGCCTCTCCCTGCCTCCTTGGTAACATGTTTTCTAAGACCGGCCCGTTCGGGGCCCCCTCCGAGAGTAGCTCTCCTTGCCGCCATGGCCTCGGTGCTGCAGCTCTCGGCCTGTGTCAGTGTCAGTCCCCTGCCTCTTGCGAACCGGCAGGTGTGGACTTCCTCGGGGGCCCCCTGGGCGCCACGGCCCAAGGTGGCAGTGCGATCGAGCAGAGCTGTGGCACGGATTTTCTTGGCGGCCCCATCTGGACGGTGCCCCAAGCGCATGCATATCCTAGTGCCAGTGTGGATCATGTGCAGCCTGTGCAGCAATCCCTTCAGTGCCTCCCGGTGTGTGTGCAATTTGGGCTTCCTGCTCTCCAGCGCTGCTTTGCATTCCTGCAAGGTGTCCGTGTGGGTGAGGCAAAGCACCCGGGTCCGCGAGGCCCACCAGCAGTGATTACCTGGAACTGGCATTTGGGGTTTAGGTTCGGCGAAGCTTCGCACCCGGGCCCTGCTGAGCTTACGAACCGAGGTGCTGGATGCCATCCCCCTTTCCCCTCTTGGGTTCTAGGTCCTCCGCGACGCCAGCAGCCGGCCCCGGCGCCGCTAGGCCCCCTAGGGTTTGAGTGTGCACCTAGGTGCTGTGTGACAGGCCGCCGGGCCCCTGCAGGTGAGCCGATGCTTTGTGTGTGCCATGACTGGAAGAGGGGATGCCGCCTGGGCGAGGCCTCTCACCCTGGCCCTGGTTTCAACCTTGACCTTGGCAACCTTGGGGATAGCCTTGGCGATAGCATCATGAAGTCGATCAAGGAGCAGATCCAGAAGGCAGTTGACGAGGCAATAAAGCAGGCCCTGGCGTCGCTCAATCTCGGCCGGGGCTTGGCTGCTGCCCGGCCGTCCGGTGATCCAGACGTGCAGCTTGAGCCAAAGGGCAGGCGCAAGAGGAAACGTAAGGCCAAGCAGGCCACGAGCCACCCAGGTGGCAACCCCGACGTTTCGGGCGGCGAGCGTGCAGGTGGCCGCCAGAGCGCAGCCAAAGGCAAGGGCAAACCTGGAGACAAGTCTGGCCCAGCCAAGGTGGCCCAGCGCGGTGGCCCAGGTGACTCAGGTCAACGCCGGGGCAAGGGCAAGGGCGGCTGCGGTGAGGCAGGCGGGCAGGAAGCCGGTGATGGCTGGCAGATCGTCCGGCGCAAGGCTCCGGAAGGCGCCTTCAAGCTTCGAAAATCTGATTGGGACGCTCCGGTCGTCGAGTATGCTGCCCTAGCTGAGTTCATTGACAAGGCTGATGCCAGCAAGGTCCTCGAACTTGTAGTCTTTGTTTCGGCCGACCAGGTCACGCTTGCTACGAACATTCTGCGGGGGAGCGGGCTGAGCTTCAAGGCCCTGCTTGTTTTCCTATCCAAGGATGAGGAGGCCCAGCGCATTCCGGGCACCATTGGGGATCGCCTGGTCTTCAGGACTGCTAAGGTCCAGAAGCTCACGTCTGCAGGTGCCAGTGGCCATGCTCCGCAGCCCACCGGCCTGAGCCAAACGTCCATCAAGATCAAACCCACTGAAAGTGCAGTCGTCTACTTTAAGGTGCCAAAGCAGTTCGCCTCAGCCGACACTTGGAAGGCTTTCGGGGGCAACGCCTCCAAGGCCGCTGTAGACTGGGTCGCGGCCCAAAGGATCAAGGTGCTCGACACTTTTGCCTGGGTCCTGGAAAAGCAGCGCAACGACACTCATGAGCAGTACTTTGGCATTGTTCGCATTCCGAAGGCAGACATTGAGGGCATCCTGGCCCACTCTGGCAAGGACGGTGTCTTCGTGGATGCCGCTCGCACCTCAGGGCCCCGGGCGAAGCTCCAATGGATCGAGAAGCTCCCCGGCGAGAAGGTGGACGCCTACTTTGAACGTGCCCTGCGCCAGGCTTCCAGCCTGGGTTTGGTCGTCAATGGGGGGCGATTGGCGTGGCGAAGTGCCATGGCAGCTGGAGAAGCAACGGTGCGCATCTGGCACATCGATGGTGTGCCCCACGAGTGGGATGTGGATGCCGTCGGCCAGCTCTTGGCCACACGCTTCACTGAGTACACCATCCTGTCGCATCGGCGCACTCGCCTCGGGTCCTGCTTTCGCTTCCGCGGGCAACCTGAAACCGCAGACACGGACCTGGTGCCGTTCGTCGTCGAGCATCAGGAGAAGCCCTTGTCCTTGTGGGCAACGCTGGCACCTTTCCGTGTCGTCTCCAAGAAGCAGAAGCCTCTCGCCTCGAAGGCCGTCCCGGTCGTTGCTCTCGAGCAGCCTGTCGTTGCCACCATCGTCAAACCTCCCACGGGGGAGCTGGCTACGGGCGAGGACGGCAAGGAAGTGCCCCAGCAGAAACGTGTCAAGCAGGAGGTGCGCACCAAGCCAGGTGACCTCCAGCTCAAGGCATGCCCTCGTGACGGAGCCTGCGTGCTGCACGCACTAAGCCTCGGCCTTCAATGGCTTGGTGACTCTCGGCCCAATCACCCGCGCATGCTCCGTGCGCAAATGGTCGAACACATGCGCCGGCACGCCACCCAGTACGAGAAGGAATGGGACGGCAAAGGGCCGGACAGTGAGCCGGTCAAGGACCGGGACTTCCCGGCCTACCTCACTCTTATGGAGAAGGAGGGGGCATACTGCTCGGATGTCGAGCTGAGGGCCCTGGGCCGTGTGCTGGACATCAAAATCGTCGTGCTGCCGGCGGGCCTCAACTTTTCTCCTTACGCCTTCCATAGCAAAGCTGCCAAGATGCTGGTGTTGTGGTACGAGGATAACCACGTTGATCTCATGCTCCCGCCTGAAGGTCACAAGAAGTATCCCAGTGAGTATGCCCAGATCACAGCTGGACCCGTCTTTGGGCTGCGTGCAGGTGGCCGTGGGCCCCCATCGGTCTTCACTGCCTCCTCTGCTGCCTGTGTTCGATCCCAGCCATCCTCTCAGTGGACCTCGGTCATGGAAGGCGAAGGGGCAAAATCCCAGGCTCGCCCGGCATCCGTCTGGACCACCTCGATGCCGGCGAGCGCCTCGGGGAGTGCTGCGGGGCGGCCCTCGATCGAAGCCCAGCCCTCTTTGCAAGGTAGGCGGCCCAGGTCACAGGTGTCACAGGCAAGGTCTTCAGGCAGCCGGGTGTCGTCGCAGGCAAAGGTGCAGGCCCTTTCCCGGCCGTGCCCACCCAGTGCCAGGTGCAAGGCAAAGGCGTTGCATGGTTCCCAGACCAGGCCCAGGGGCGAGCCACAGGCAAGGTCATCACAGGCCACGGCCCAGGCAAGGCCCTCAGGCACCAAGCGCAAGGCGGTAGAGCTGTGCACTTCGTCCGTCTTCACCTGCACCTCTACTGGCACTATCGAGGCCTTCGATGAATCCGAGTTTGAGCGAGCTCGTGTGCCCCCGAAGCGCTGCCCTTGGCTGGCCCATGCCACGGCACCGGCTGACCTCACCTTTCGGTGCAACTTGTGCCCTTACAAGCGCAAGGCCACGAGCAACCACCAGTACTACCACATCCGCCACAACCACTACCAGCGTGCCCATGAGGGGCAGGGCCTGCAGCCGGACATCGGGCGACCCAAGCTCACGCGGGTCTGCGGCCCAAGGGCTCAGTTCATCTGGTGTTGCCCTTTCTGCAACAAGGGCATCACGCACGAGACTCGGAAGGACCTTTCTCGATTCTCCTACTATGCCCTGCGCAACCAGCATCGTGCACAGGCCCACCCCGAGGTCTCCAAGGCTGAGTGGCAGCGTCTTGCGGCACTCCCGCAAACCGGGCCCAAGGATCGCCAGGTGCATGCCAAAGGGTGCCGCCAGCGCAACCTCACCAAGGCCGTGTTCGCTCAAGTCAGGACCCCTCGCTTTGGGGACCAGATGCAGCTCTTTGTGTGGCCTCGAGCCAGGTGTGAGAAACGCAGCACCCGGGTCAAGCATGTCCTCCTTGAGCATGGTTGGAAGTGCCTCCGGTGCGGTGAGTGCACCAGGGACCTGGCTGCCGCCAAGCAGCATAGCGAGGGCCGGTGCAAGTCGCAGAGCAACACCCAGAAGCGGATCCAAAAACTTGATGCCATCGAGGCGTGGGCCCGGCGTGCCGGAGGTGACCCCGACTTCTGCTCCCAGGTGCTCCGTGCTGCCGCGGCTGCCAAGCTTGCCATCTCCATGCGAATCCCCTCCTCGCCGTGTTCGTCAAGCTTTTGAGCATCAATGCGAACCGCACGGCCATCTCCAAAGTGGACCTGTGTGCCGACTTCCTCCAGTCGTGTGGGGCTGAGCTCTTGTCTCTCCAGGAGGCTGACATCAACCCTTTGTCGGCCCAGGGTTTTGGTGAGCGCTGGCGTGCCCATGGGTATCGGGCTGTTCTCAGCGACATCGATGCTGCCAAGGGTGTGCATAGGGTAGCCTTAGTCGCCTCCCTCCCCATGCATCGGGTGAACCTTAAGCTCCCTCCTCATGTGGCTGCGCGCTGTGCTGCAGGTGCTTTTGAGATGCAGGCTGCTGGCAGCAAGTGCATCACCCTTGTGGTGGCCTTCTACGGTTTCCCTGGTCAGCCAGCTGCCACAGCCCAGGCCTTAGGTGAGGTTAGGCGTGCAGCTGCGACCTTCGGCGGCCCCTACATCTTGCTCGGCGATTTCAATGTTGACCAGTCTGAGCAAGCTGTGGTGCAGCTGTTGTGCGATGGCGAGCTCCGGTCTCTGGATGAGGCGGACTGGACCCAAGCCGGCCCAACAAATCCCACGCGCACCCGGCGCATTGATTTTGGCCTAACCCATTGGTCAATCATTGCGACGGCTGTCAAGCAGTTCGAACGCCCGCACCTTTCGGACCACGGGTGTGTCTTCTACGAAACGCGGTGCCTGAGCCGTGCCGACAGCTTCTCCATGCCTAAGTTTCGTGAGCTCCCTGCCACGGCCACTGAAGACATCCTGTCTAACTTTGGTAGGGTCTGGGATGCCGCACACTTTGAGAGTTCTATTGCAGGTGGGGCTCTTGATGAAGCCTGGGCTTTCTTGTCAGACGTGGCCGAGCGCACGCTGGGTGCCACTTCGCTCTTCGATGCCTCTGGTGCCCGCAGGAGCGACCACTGGCTCCCTTGTGCCCGCCACGAGTCTCACCATCGTGTCGGCCCCCAGGGTCATGAGTCCCAGTCCCTCCGTTCATCTCGCAAGTTGCTTGGGCAATTGCACCAACTGCGGCAACAGCCCCACTGTCAGAAGCTGTGGCGTGCGGTGGGCCGCCGGGCTGGGCTCCTTCGTGCCACTTTCCCCGACCTCCCTGTGATACATGCTGCCAACCTTGCAGGTGCCACCCAGGTGATCTCTCATTTGCATGCTGAGCTTCAGCAGCAGGAGACGGAGGCCAGAGTGCACAGGTGGCGTTGCCGTGTTGAGGAGGATCTGCCCTCGCCTGGGTCAAGCGCAAAGCTGACCATCAGTTGGCCATGGAGCAATCTCCTCAGGCCCATGCTGGTGTCCCTTCCTCTGTTCACCCTGCCTCTATTGTCGAGGAACATGGTAAAGTGTGGCTGCAGCACTGGAAGCCGGAGTCCCCTGTCAACTTCGATGCCGTGCAACGCATCCTTGACCGTGTCCCGGGCGGGCCGCAATCGGACATTGTGCTCCAGGTCGAAGCTGAGGCTCTGATGCGGGCCACCAAGGCAATGCGGGGGAAAGCGATGGGCCCTGACCGATGGTCAGCGGAGCTTCTGCTCCGCCTCCCAGTGCCGTGGTGGGAAGCGGCGGCCACTCTGTGGAATGCGGTGCTCTCCACGAAGTACGTTCCTCGACTCTGGCGCCGGGCACTGATTGCCCTGGTGCCGAAGCGCCTGGATGAATACCGACCGATCGCCTTGTGCCCTGTCATCTGGCGAGCTGGTGCCCACTGCATCTCTCGCAATGTGCTGCCGTGGATGGACACATGGCTGGGCCACCACACCTTGGGCGGTGCACCATGTAGAGGCCCGGGCGACGCTCATGCCCGGCTTTTTCATGCGTGGCAGAGCGGCGGCAAAGTCTTTTGCCAGCAGGACCTCACGCGGTTCTTCGACTCTCTTGATGTCCAGGCGGTGGGTATGGTGCTCCGGCACCTTGGTGCTCCTGCTGGCCTCGCTGAGCTCTTAGCCTCCTTCTACCAGGATGCCTCGAGGCTCTTTCTGCACGAGGGCCGGTCCAGCAGTGCATGGGGCAGCCCGGCGCGGGGCCTGGCGCAGGGATGCCCACTCTCCCCAATGGCCGCGGTTGCGGTCGGCCATATCTGGGCCATGTGGGTCCAGTCCTTTGCCAAGGGACGCACCGACTGCCTCATCTTTATTGACGACCGGGTGTTGTGGCCTTCCTGCACGTGTGCGGACCCTCTTGGGGCCATGGATGTGGCATTGAGGGCTTCTGACTCCTTTGACCAAGCCTTCGGTTTCCAGTGCCGTGCCAGCAAGTGTGCTGTGGTGTGTCCACCCGATGTCGGGACTTTCGATCAGTGGGCCAGTGCCAGGAGCTACCCACGCGTGACTACTTTAAAGGTGCTGGGCATCACCCTCGACATGCAGGAGGGTGCCCTGGGGCTCCTTAAGTTTAGCCCACGCTTGCTCCTGCATCGCCTTCGCTTCCTCAAGCTCCTGGGAGGGGAGGTGCCCCAGCTCCGTCGCATCGTGCTGCAGCTGGTCCACTCGGCCATGTTTTGGGCTGGTGGTGTCGCCTGCCCGGACCGCGACTGCTTGCGCGACGTTTGGCACTCCACTTGTGCTGTCCTGCAAAAGCACGCCACCTTCGAGTCTCCTAAAGTCTTGCTGTGTGCCTCCTTTGGCTGGAGTTTGGACCCTGAATGGGCGGCGGACTGGGCATCCCTGCGGGCTGCCTGGCGTTTCAAGGCTCGGCCCCCGGCCTGGCTCGACACGGCTGGGCTTGATGTTGCTTGTGGTGACTGGCGTCGCTTCCTCCCTGGTGCGGCGGCGGTTGTGCAAAGGTTAGGCTGGCAGGTCCAAGGCAATGGCGCCATCCTGGCACGGCTCGACGATTCGGGCACCCTCCGTCAGTGCCACCTTGGCTGGGAATCCTTTGATGTGGTCAAGCGCTGGCTTGTGGACCACTACAAGTGGCAGGGCGTGCATTCGTGTGGGCGGATCCGCAATCGTGGCCACCGCGATGATGCAACGTTGGCCCGTGGTCTCAGCCTGGGGGCCCCGCTTCGCAGTGCTCGGTTTGCGCTTGAAGGTCACCGCCTTGCAGTCGCGGCTGAGCCTACACGTGAAGTTCGCCTTGCAGCACTGGGCTCGGGCGGCTCCATCTGGTACCACTGCAAACGGCTGGAGATGAGCTCACCCGACACCACGGCGTGTGTTTGTGGCCTCTTGCAGCCCAGCCGAGCGCATCTCACCTGGTGTTGCGCCTCAACGACGGGATTGCGGCAAGGTCTCGCACCTCCTTCCACTCGTGCTGGTGAACGGCTCTTTGCGGCCGAAATCACTGAGTACCCTGCAGCTCCTGCAGCTTCGGACTTTGAAAACATCCTTCAGAGCATTGTGGCGCATCTTCGCAACTTCGCTACTGTGGGCGAGCGTCTGCTCATCGCGACCGATGGCAGTGCTAAGAGAGCATTGTGGCGCATCTTCGCAACTTCGCTACTGTGGGCGAGCGTCTGCTCATCGCGACCGATGGCAGTGCTAAGTTTGATGTCGGCGGCTGTGCCGTGATCTTCGGAAGCGGCGACGGCACCTTCGTCTTCGGTGATGCTTGTGAGGACCAGTCGGCTTTCCGATGTGAGCTCCTCACTTTGACGACCCTCTTCGAGGCGATCTCTCGTGCGCAGTTGGCCCCAGGCTGTCAGGTTGGCATCCTGGTGGATTGCAGCTCTGCTCTTCAGGCTGTGGCTCAACCTCGGGCGTGCTCTATGCCTCTCCTGGCTCACAAGGCTGCGAGGCTACTGCGTGATGTGAGTGCCGGTGGCTTGGACCTGAAGCTTTCGTGGACTCCTGCACATGGTCGGCGGCCCAACTGGACTGCTCCCTGGGGCCAAACGGCCGCCCGCTGCAGGGACCTTAACGAACGGGCCGATGCAGCTGCCAACAGCATTCGCGAGCACCGGGCTCGTGGATCCGGCAGGGTGAGCTGGCATGCAGAGCTTCATCGTGCAGCACTTTGGGAGCGGGGGGCCATCTTGGCTTCTGCTGGTGCCTCCAATGTCTTGGCGCAGCACCTTCGTGCGAGGCGGCCGGCCCGTATCATTCATGATGATCCGTGAAACTCGCTACGACACTGAACATTTGCATCGTTGACGGCTTCTACGGTGGCTCCCTCGGGGAACTAGCGAGGTGGACGTGTCCATCGGAGTGAGTTTTTGAGAATCTGAGTTTCGTTTTCGTGTGCCTTTATCACGAAAACATTTTCTGTTTTCACAGAGCTTTGTCCTTTAATTTCACGTGGGGGGTTTGGCACACGGGTTTTCCTTTTTCTCACTTTGCATCTCTTTACGAAGATGCCTTGAGAATCCATGTCGTGTGCCTGTAGTCGTGTGGCTCTGCTGCAGTCACCGTGAAATTTTCTTGAAGCCTCGGGGCCCTTTGCGTGAGTGCGGTCTCGACGTGCGTCAGTGCTCCCGGCAGTGGTGGCAGTTCCGGGCCCCGGCCTGGGCTGCGAGTCGGAGTGAGATACACTGGACACCCGGGGCCGCCACTCCGCAAACACGTTGCATCTAACAGCTTTCAGGTGCTAATTGCGAGGCTTCGTTAGCTTGCCGCTGCATGGAACCTGCGGCCGCAGACACAGAGTCGCCGCCTGAAACTTTACTTGACGTCTTGGGCGCTCCGGAGGTCTCTGTGTGCATCGCCCGTTGGAGAGCTGCCACTTTTGGGCGGCGAGTGATCTCAGGTGGTACTTGCGAGGAGAATCGGTGCCTTCTTCTAGAGCTCCTTCTCCGGTTCCTGCTGGCTAAAACAACATGTCTTCCTCAGGCGCTGCTGCCGAGGCATCAGTCGATTCGGGGGGTGCTCCTTCCGAAGCCAGTTCCGAGGTATTATCTTGGGACCGATTACCGAGGAAGGTCCGATTTGCGATCAGCAAGGATGGGACACAGCCAGGCTCTTCACTGCTTGCAACCTTATTTGTGGATGAGCGGGATTTATCTGCTTTTCTGGAAAAGCTGGGTTTTGCTTCTGGGTCTGTGGGGTGGTTGTCCTGCCTACGCATACTGGTGCACCTTACAGATGATGC